CGGCCCCCTAGCCTTTCCTAGCCGCGGCGCTCGGCCCCCTAGCCTTTCCTAGCCGCGGCGCTCGGCCCCCAGCCTGTCCTATTCGCAGAGATCGGCCCCTAAGCGTGTCTTAACCGTAGCGCTCCGCCCATAAATTTTGATAATTTTGTACATAAAACTAATAAGTAACATAGGCAGAGAATCAGGCCCAGCGATCGACCCCTAACAAAAATGCGCATGAGAAAACAGGTAAGATAATAATAATAACAATGAGCGTTGTTTAATTTAGAGCAATGATGCCTCATTTGCGCTTAACATATCTTGTAAGGTATATTAAAAATATAGTTATTTTCGACTTTCAGAAAATTAAATTGTTTTTTTTTTAAATGGAGGAGAAAACGTTGCACATTGTTGAACCAGTTGATAGAGATTTGAAACAAGATGTTAATAATAAAGACGTTATCACGACGGAACAAGTTATTTCAAATAAAGAACAAACTGTCGACAGTACAAAATTAAATACCGGGGAATCTTTGTCGAAACGTCAGAAGAAAAAGGCGGAGAAGAGGCGAGTATGGATTGAATCCAAGGCGGAGAGGCGGAAGGAAGAGAAAGAACGGCGGAAGAAGAAGATGGCTCGAGTTGCGGAGGAGCGGGGAGGGTTTCCAGAATCTAGATCGTCTAAAAATTATTATTATTTTTTTATCTGGCACCTTGATTTAAAAAAAATTTAACCACATGAGTATTTCAAATATTTTCAGTACAATTGTTTTTGGGGTGGGGTTTGACCAATGGTTTAAAAAAACTTCTGTGTATAGAATATTAATACATTTGAAAGTTTATGTGGGGTTAGGGAGGATCTTTTGTGTGGGATACCCTTAATTCCGAATTATTGATTTTGATTATACAGTGGGCATTGGGCACTTTTAAATTTTACGCTGAATCTGTCTGATCTCTTGGATATACGCAATTTCTCTGTTTTCCCATTGGTTGAATGTAAAATTCTCTGGCTTCTGATTGGCTGTTAGTTTTTCAAAGATGACTCTTTATACTGGATATCGAATAAAAAGTATATAAATCTGTAGATAAACATAAAATCGAAATCGAGCGAGTATAGGCTAATTTTTTTTTTGCAACCTAGTGTGAGCACTGAGCAATGATCTTGATGTCCACAATACAGGAGTTACCATCTCTGAAATAATACACCCCTCCCACTTCTTATTATGAACTTTCTGTTAAGGCGCCCCTGCAGATGTACATGACCAGCTTTAAAGGAAAAGTCGAAGAAGAAATGAACAAGGAAAACTAAAATGAACAAAAACATGAAAATACTTTTTAGTAAATATTAAATTAAAACAAACTTGATGACATGTTCACTGTTCAGTTAAACAAAAAAATAGTCGCTAATAAATAATCCATGAAATTGAACTGCATTTATATTGAACATAACAGGTTTATATACTAGTAAAAATGTAAACAATAACAATAACATTGCGTACTGCAAAAATAAATTGAAAGCTGTCCGAAGTGAACCCCCACAGTACATTTGAACAGATTAATAATGATTCCACAAAGATCAATCTAGGTTCTTGGGATGAACATTATTTTCACTAAAATTTACCACAAGATGAATTATAAAAATATTGTTAAATTTAGTTTTATTTAGCACAATGGATACAAACAGTGGGATATGCATTTTAAACATGAATGTTTTAGGTAAAATTTCTATATCGTTAATAGTTAATATTTATTATTTTGTGTATTTTTAGTGAAATTTTACCCTTGGAATCCTTGGTGTATCTAAGTGGAGATTCTAACAACAGTATAAATACGCTAGAGCAGGGGAAAAATTATGTCATAGGTTAGTTGGTTGGTTGGAAGTGTTTATGGGATGTCTGATTTACAATAGTACCTTTCAAAGCTATGTCTGATCAAGTATCAATAAGCGATATATGTTTTGAATAATTAAAAGTGAATACTTTTAACTGTGGTTTGGCTACAAAAGTGATATGCACATTTTTTCTGGATTAAAACAACGTAAAAATTATCAGAATTAAACCATTTTAAACTAGATCATTTTTCTTTACTTACAGTGTTTAAGGGAACCGTTGTGAATCTGACATACCCCTCTTTAATTGTAGAGTTACGTAAACTTACAAGAAATTATGCTTGTCCTTCTCTTGTAATTAATCTCCAGACTAATCAACCGATCGGGATTAAGGATTTCCCATTCTAAAGTTTCAGCTCAGGTCTTTTCAAGATGAAATAATATTTGTTTGTTTGCAGGAGGATTAGTAGATCATAACAATCACAAGGGGATTTGTTTGAGAAAAGCTGAGGAGCTAGGAATACAGCATGGAAGGTAGGGACGGGTAAATATTTTAGATGCTCGGGGGGGAAAAATAAGAAATTGGACACATCACCAGACAAGTTTTATTTTAACCTTTTTTTTGATACTTTTTACCCTAAACGTTAAATAATAACAAATTCAGCAAATAAAACAAATTAACAAATTTCTTGCAAAACATATTAAAAATATTTTATAAGAGGGGGGGGGGTGACAGGCCGGGATTTTGATTTTTCTAGTAAATATATAATATAGTATGCCACCATGCAGGGTAATATATATATTCTTAGAATGATTTTTGATGATTAGGGGGAAAAATGAAAAATTGGACATCAAAAGGAAAGTATTTTCATTTTTTTTAACTTAAATAACATCGGGGGGAATTTAAAAGAGTGGGAAGGTATAACCCAAACGTTTGTAGAAATATAAGATACAAAAAGGTTCTTATCAGACAGATGGGCGCAGTTAATCCAGTGTTTTTATATTTATATTTTGGCATCGTGACCAACTAATTGAATGATTCATTGATCGATATTTACTAACTTGCTTTTCAATTTGAGTGTTTAGAAAGGTCTAAAGTGTATTTGTATCGACCTTAGATGAAGAGAGATACATTGATCTTTGTGAGAAAATTATTAAACAATATAAGAGAAAAATGAAAAGTACTCTTTACATTGTTATATTGTTCCGTTTTCGCTTAGATACCATTTTTGGTAATAAAGAGCTATTCTTAAAATTGATATTTTTCACTATATATGCTCGACATGATCATCGTAACTGTTCTTGAAAATGTTTAAGGTTTTAGACTCTTTAACATAACATTGAGTGAGTGGATTTTCTTTATAGATTATTAATGCTCTCTAAAGGGTTTATTGTCGTTCTAAGTGTCCTTCTATTTATAGAGTAAATGGTCTTATTCTCAAGGGAACCCTTTAAACAATTATCTGAGCTTCAAGGAGGAAACTACAGTTGTTTCTCTCTCAGGAAAAGTGTTAAATTCTAATAATTTACTTCTTTTTCACTGTTGCATACATCTGCGAGGTGCCGTAATTAATAACGATCAGTTTTCAGCTTTAAAAAGACATTTTATTATTCTTTTATCAGATTGTGGTTTAAAGGGTACCGTTGTGAATGGACATAACACTTTTTTCGCGGATGTCCCAGGGTCACTTGAAATCCCGTGAACAGTCCCATTAACCAATGTTAAGATAAGCGAGTAGGTTTAAAAAACAAAATGTCCTATTAACCAATGTTAAGATAAGTGAGTAGGTTTAAAAAACAAAATGTCCTATTAACCAATGTTAAGATAAGCGAGTAGGTTTAAAGAATAAAATGTTTTCAGGTGTCTCTGAAAAAGTTGAAGATGATCTTAAACATGAGGAGGAGGAACCTTCAGAAACTGAGAAATGAAGAAATATGTTTTTGTTTTTTGTTTTTTTTCTCATTTTCTCAGTTTCAGATTAAGAATGGGAGTTCTAGGGCTCTGGAATTTATTAGAACCTGTTGGGAAACCAGTTCCAATAGAGTCATTAGGTGATTTCATTCATTCATTCATTCATTCATTCATTCATTTATTCATCCTTTCATTTCTTTCTTTCATTCATTCATTCATCCTTTCATCCTTTCATTCATTAATTCATTTTATTCATTCATTCATTCAGTTATTCATTCATTCATTCATCCATCCATCCTTCCTTTCATTCATCCATTCATTCATCCATTCATCCTTTCATCCATTGATTGATTCATTCATTAATTAATTTACTCATTAACTTATTTAATCAATTTGCTGTCACTTGTAAGCTTTTTCATCACTTTTAGAAAACAAAATTTTGGCTGTGGATATCTCGATCTGGTTAAACCAGGCTGTGAAAGGATTTAGAGATAGGTATGAAGTTGTTGTCAGGGGTTTATGTTTTCTTAAAACAAAAGTTTTCCTCTCTTCTTTTTAAATTTTTGTTCTCAGTGGAGGCTTCTTTTAATTCGTCGATTTTTTTTTTTT